TCTTTGCCTTGACCTTCATCCCTCATCCACCATGCCCGACGTCGAAATGAAACCAGCGGATGTTAAACCGGTCAAAGAAACGGAAGAGAAGAAAGAAGAATCTAAACCAGCACCTTTGTCTCCATTGGCAGAAATCAAGAGCAATGTCGTGCTCATCGACCGGGCAGTGACCACTCTCGAGCCCCGCTTCACCCACCGTGTTTTGCGCACATTAACTGCTTTGCGTAAACGCATCGACAATTCGGTGTTACGCAATGCCGTCGAGAGTCTCTATCCTAAAGGTTCGCTAGGGCGATATTGATTTGATGTCTGGTATTCATTGACCGGATATATTCTGTAGACCATTCCATTAAGAAAACCCTCTTGGCATGGCTTCCTACTGGGCCTTCATCTTCAGATCAAGCAATGGACGTTGACTCATCTGCGAGGCCCTCACATCACGAGCTCGTTCCTGAAGCCGAAATATATCTTCGACTCCTCATCTTGTACCATCTGTTGGCCTCAGAGGACACTCAAGAGAAGGCACTAGAATTGGCAAACCAAACGGCAGAAAAAATGCAAGCGATAAACAGACGTAGTATGGATGCAATTGCTGCAAAGATTTGGTACGCCGTCGACCGTGCATATGAACTCGCTGGGGAACTTTCAGATGCGCGACCGTATGTTCAACCTTATGCCCTACAATTTCAATGACTGATTTGATCACCCAGAATGTTCCTTGCTGCTCAACGGACAGCATCTCTCCGTCACGACGACGAAGCTCAGGCAGCTCTCATCAACTGCCTGCTCCGAAGCTACATCAACTACAATCTCTACGACCAAGCCGACAAACTGGTCTCCAAAACCACTTTCCCCCCTTCTGCAAGCAATTCTCAATTTTCTCGCTATCATTACTACCTAGGACGCATCAGGGCTGTCCAACTGAACTATACCGAAGCACATACCAATCTGCAGCAAGCCATCCGACGTGCCCCACCAGCGAAGACAGCACCAGGTTTCTACCAGGAAGTTCACAAGTACTTTGTGGTTGTCGAGTTACTTATGGGTGACATCCCCGATCGGTCCTTATTCAGACATGTCGTTCTGGAGAAGGCTTTGAACGCGTACTTTGAAATCGTGAAAGGTTCGACACCTCTGTGGGTTTCATCAATGCTACACTTCTAATATCTCTCTCTTCTGCAGCCGTCCGGACTGGTTCTCTTGCCCAGTTCCAAAGCACATTATCAAAGCACGCGGCTCAATTCGAGGAGGACCACACTTATACTCTGATCATTCGCCTCCGTCAAAATGTCATCAAAACAGGTATTCGAAGACTGTCCCTCTCGTATTCACGGATATCACTACGTGACATCTGCGTCAAGCTTCACCTAGATTCTGAGGAAGACGCCGAGTACATTGTGGGCAAGGCGATTCGTGATGGTGTCATTGAGGGCCGCATTGTACACGAAAAGGGATGGATGGAGTGTGGCACGCAAAAGAACGCCTACGGACCTGAAGTCAGCGAGGTATTTGGCCGACGTATTGCGTTCTGCCTTGACCTACACAACCAGAGTGTGAAGGTACGTTTAGAAGTGCACGTATTTGACTTAAGTTGGTTACGATGCTTTTACCACAGGCCATGCGCTACCCCCTTAATGCTCATCGGAAAGAACTCGCGGCGGCTGAAGGTGCTAGAGAAAGAGAGAAAGAATTAGCGAAGGAAATCCAGGACGGCGATTTAGATGACGAAGATCTGGGACCTGATTTCTGATTTCTTTCTGATTATTTTCGCCTGTTATTCGTGGCTTTCTAGACAACAATGAAACGCGTTTTGCAAATGTAGGCACCTTGCGCGATAATCATGATGTCTGGTGCGCAGAGGTGACGTATCCATCGATGGCCTGGTGTCTGCTTATCTGTAAGTCATCCGGATTTCAAGTTTACCTACTGGCAACGTTAAATGAGGTAACCTTTCGGTTCTTTCTTTAATTAAGGCATTCGTGTGATTGATGTTGACATTTGTTAAATCCGGTGCTGCAGACCTCCGATGCTTTTTCTTGCTTGGTTTGTTCCCGCTGGCTGTAATTATACGACACGGGAATACAAGAAGACAGCCGACACTTTCACACATCAAGCTTTCTTTAAAGTTATGTTAGGAGGCTCAGAAAGTTACCGTTCTTCCTTGCTCAACTTTCCACCCTTGCCAATGGCTGCAGAGTCACGGTCAGCGTCTCTGATTGTGATGCTTCGTCAATATCTACTGAGGTTGCTCCACGGTGGATTTTTGCGACATGCTTTGGCGAAATGGGTGAAGAAACTGGCCTTCCTCGGATATTTTCTCAGCTTCCGACGGGTGTCTTTGAGAGCCCAAAGGGGTAAAGCTACAGCAGGTACACCACCTCCAGATACTCCATCATCGAAAGCTGTTGGAAGTACGCCCTCAAAGGAACGATCGGCTCTAGTTCGAAGACCCTCTGAGTCAGAAGGTTACCTGGACATCTCAAATGGTGAAATCGTCTCACTGGACAACGCGGCCTTTTCTCTGTACCCATCATCGGAATCGGATTCTCTCAATCGGCTTTCTACCTCTTGGGGTCAACTTCGCCTTCAGCCTTACACTGAAAGACGGTCAGAAACCTCTGGAATGCGTTCAGCTTCGACCTATTACCATGAAAATGTCGAGACGACTTCCCGGGAAGAGATGCACAATACGTTCAGTAACTACTTCCTTCTTTCCCAATCGGCCTCCTTCACTCGTTTGAACCACCCTCGAATCAAGCCTATCCCGCCCCAATGTTCCAGACGTTATCTGAGAAAGCAGGAACAAAAGTAAGTTCCTGACAGCATCCTTGGCTGCTGGGATTGATCGTTTGCTCGTTCACAGGGAACAGAAAAAGGCCGGAGAGAAAAGCAAAACGACAGCGACATCGAATGCAGAGTATGTGATCCAACTTTTGTACTTCTTCCCGTCTCTTATAACGCGTCGAAGGCGCCGTCCACCTCCTGGATGGGCTGTTTACACCCATCCTGAAGGAGCTCGGTACTTCTGCAACAAGGATAAGGTGTGCCGACTTTGGATCCATTCATGACCTTCTTCCTTACATCATCACAGAGGATATTCACAGACGCAGACCTTTACGACCACAACATCTTCAAGCAGACATTGGAGGACATATCGGTCATTGAGGAGTTTATCTCTCAGAACAACATCACTCTTCCCAGAAATTCGGATCTAGTCATTGACCTATTCTACAGCGAGAAGGATCAAGTCATTCAAACGTTCTATTACTATGTTCACCATGCTTCGCGGTCTATCTTTTTTTTGGACATATTTGAGCCCGACAAATCAATTAGTCGACATATCTCGAAGTCTGAGAGCAATCTTCGTGAGTGCAGCACAAAGCTCAATACCTTTACCTGACGTAGGCTTGAACAGGGGACGAGATAGAGGCTCAATATTGGTAGGAGAGCCTCCCTCTCGTTGAATGCCATGCAGTCAAAACTAAATGCTGATTTCCCTAAGGCTGCATCTTCAACTGTTTCCTCACGCTGCGCCGATTTCGACCTCTTTAATTCGGGAACTGAGAGATAAAACTTTCTATTTCATTGAAGGTGATGCGAACCCACTTGACTCTATTGTCGCTTTTTTGATCTTTTTATTCGATTACAGAATATACTACTTCGACCTCAAATTCTATATACACCTTAGACGAGCTGTACAAGACCCTGAGCTTAACTGACAATTTCGAGAGTGAACACCAACCATTTTCGTGCCTAGGCGTTTCACTGATGCAATACATGTCCTCCAGGGAATATTGGAAACGAATCGTCTGGAGCTGTAAGCTTACTCGGTGAGAGCCTCTTCAAACTAAACCATTTTCCATTCTAATGCGCTCTTTCCTAGCACGACTGATGCACTCATTCGGTACGCCAACCATAAGCCTTTGACCTAGTCAGATAGTTGATGATATATTTGTAGCCCTATCAAAAATTTCCCTTCAAGAATCCAAAAAAAATTCCGATTTACAAATTCAAGATTCCGAAAGTCAAGTCGATCAAAGAACCTGGTTTATCAGAATCGCTTCACCTCTTCTCCTCTTTGCGCCCGACCTCTATTACCAAGGACAAACTATTCATGCACTTTGCGTCCATAGGATAACAACAATAATTGGAAGCGACTGGTTGGAAATTCTTCTGTTTGTAAGCCCTTCTATGCCATTCTGTAGGTTTTCAAGGGATCTGAAATGGGTAATTGGCGTAGGCAACTCTTTTACTCATTGTCAACGTGGTATTTTTGGGTATCCATCTCGTCGACCTTGATCACACACCACCTCATAGGTCTCCTGCACAAGTATCCAGCTATGCCTCTGCGGTGCTCAGCATAGGAAGTATTATTCTAGGGTTGGTCTTCTTCAGGCAGACTAAATTGGCGAGTCGAGGAGTTTCCGTTGGCATTGAAGTGAGTATCAACCTGCGCTCATTTTGCAAAATCTTATATTTGGGGTTGGCTAGAAACACTAGACTCGATCGCGCATAGGACGTGAAATCCTGGCAATTATTCATAGCTTACCTTATGTCCTCCTTATGTGGAGGTATGCCAACAATCTCTGATAGTTTTATGATGTTGATGTTGATTGTGTTCAGTATTATCGCCTTCACTTTGGCGTTCTCCTTCCTGTGCTTCCAGCGTTCAAGCAAACTCAATAGGATCCTCCTTGGGACTTTCGGCGGCATAGTCTTTGTCCTGGTGATCTTGAGCACTGCGTCCTCTTGGGTGTTGGGACATCAGCACGGACCTGCCTTTCACGCTACCGAGAGTTGCTCCAAAGGAGCACCACAGATTTCAAGGCCTGCCTTTCCGTCGAAATTACCCGCACCTCGTGCTCAGTTGCCAAATTCTCCGACTGAGGCGATTAACGTCTGATTCCGAAGTCTAACGGCAATCCTGAGTTTGCGTGTTCAATTACAAGGTTGAGATGGCCCAGGTGATTAATGTAGGGCCATAATTTTTGTTTTTCGTTGTCTCGATAGCTAAGTGGTATAGCATGCGATTGCAGTATGAATCGACCTATCGCAGGGTCCGGTGTTCGAACCACCGTCGGGACTTCTACATATTTTTGGCTGGTTACTCATGGCTGTGGGGAATACTGATACCGGATTCTGAGTTTGAAATTAGATATAATGTAAGCGAGAACGTGACCGGTAGACCGGGTCCAGACTCCAGCCACAACAAAAGCTGGCACTATTGCGCAGTGCGCACACCCCGCATCGTGCTCGCCTCCGGGTAGGAGGAACAGGAAAAATTATTAGCTACATTGGTACTCATGCTAGCATTGCATAAAGTAAAGTAAAATAAAAATATTGGGATACCTAACTGTACATTTTGAAAGAACGAATTTTGCAGTGGGTTGCATGGCACGGAACAGTGCCAGAGCCAGCCAAATTATAATAGTTTACTCATCAATTAGAATTGATCTTATCAATCTAGAGCTGTTGGGCACATCATATCTAAGCGGGTATTCTGCAGCCAATGAGAAAAAACGTAAGAAAAGGGTCACTTTGATCATCTACGCGAGTATCCAGCGCCGCAGGCGAAATTTGATAAAAATACTGTGTGCGTACGTAAAATCACAGTGCCGAATAGTAAGACAGTGGGCGCTTTGCTTAGGTAGCTCAGGAAGGGGTTTCAACGTAGTTGGGACTAGGAGACAGCTTTCCTTTCTTCCCTTTTCTTTTCCTTTTTCTTTTTTACATAAGGACCCACACACACCGGTATCCAGCCATATTTTTATCGAAATTTCTTGACCTACTTCGTTACTTCGTTACTTCGTTCCCATTACTACTCACTCAACATTTTGATTGTTATGGTTGCTCAAATCCAGCTCCCTCCTTGACCTAGTTACAGAGCATCACTTCGACTCCGTTAAAGCAGCCTGCTTATTTTAGCACACTAAATAGCGAGTTGGATCGATATTCAATCACTCAAAATTTCTTATTTAAAAAATATACACCGGAAACTTTTAAACTTCGTCATCAAAACCGTCAATGGATGAATGGGGCACGTTACGTGGATGACTTGCAACCGCACATCTGAGATTCTGCACTTCGACCTGTGACCTAAAATAGCTCCCCAGCGTACCTGATTTGCAGCGCCCCGGTGACTCCAGAAGACGACACGACGTTAATGGTAAGCCCGTCAACTGTGTCGTTCTGGAGTTGCCACGCGACCGACGAAGGAAATGTGCTAGTCGCAACATCTTCAAGCGCCACATTGTGCAAATTTGTCGTTTGATTGGGCAGCTCTGAAAGAGAGGTAGCGCCAGAGACTTCCAATGACACAATAGCCACGTTAAAGACCTCGGCGGTCTGGATCTGCAAAGAGGTTCCTTGGAATGATGAGAAACCAGCAAACCATACGTGCTCCCCGGGAGATCCCAAAAATTCATCCTCGTTCACGATGAAGGCATCGACAGTGTTACCGGGTGAAGTCTGTTGAGCTGCATTGGTAATGTTAGTGGCATAGGCTTGGTCACCGGCGATGAGCCATGTACTGAGGCTCCAGAATGCACCTCCTCCGTTGGCAGTAGCTCCATACTGCAATACGGGAAATAATAGAGCGTCGAGAGAAGGTGGGCCAAGTGCAAGGAAATACTGAAGGACCTGGCCACTGAATTTTTGGGGTGCCGGTGGGACGATCCAATTTCCTGAGAAGTCGAAGTCGTTAGCCGCTTCAAAAAATGCGTCAACGGCTGCAGACTCCAAGCTTCGTCGAGCCTTGCCAGATGAAGTACCAGATTTGTTGAGGCGGGAAAATAAGGGTTTGGAGCCTGTCAATGGAGCTGAATGGAGGACCTTCCCATCGGCATCGAAGAGTTTGACTGAATCCGACGTGTGAACAATTTTTCCGCCCTCTGGGACGATGTGGACGTTTGACCTTGGGAGAAAACCTCCAGGAACCTTTATAAGTTCGTCGTCAGCACGCTGAAAGTAGGGACTTGGTCAGAAATTCATGCGAGGTTATAGATGGACTCCACATACTGTGCCAACTGGATTCGCAACACTGAAAAGGCCATGAAGCACAATGAGCGCAGATACTGCTAGAATTCTGAATGACATTGGAGGCCTAAGTCGATAGTTGTAATAAATTCAAATCTGGTGTCTATGTCTTCGCCTGCTTGAAAGACGAAAATCGCCAGTTGAGGATCAAACAGAAATCTTCTCTCTTTTTAAGTCCTGGCCTTCAGAACCTAAGGCACCATTGCAAATCAGGAACCAGTTCCGAAGAAAAGAAAATATGTGTTCTCTGAACCTTCTGATGGCATTTCGGACGCGACGCGGAAATCCAGGAAGCAAAATGCTTAGGCTGATCCTTGCTGGCCGGTGCATTACCCAGTGACTGAGGGCGATGCCGACGCCAGAATGTAAAATAGTCCGGAGTCATTCACGGCTGCAAGGCGGGAAGGAAGCTCGTCAGAGTGGCGAAAGTGCATGCCAATCATTACATCTACTCGGAGAAAATATTATATCAGAAAATCCATGAGGCAGATTACTTGTCCGAGCCGAAGGCTAACACGATCTGTCATATCCAGTGAATACGCAGACAGCTAGTGGGCATGGAAGGAGAAACCTGCAGAAATGTTCCTGGGTCAGCTGATTTAACAACGCCAAGGAGCCCAGCTCCTAGCTGTCACCTTCCAAGTACTCTTCCCCATCGCCTGTGGCATCGCGCCATTTTGGACTCAAGATGACGACACAGATGGAAAATGTCTTGCTGTGGTAGGAAAACACTGGGAAAACGATTTATAAGACTGTGTGGCACAAGGGAGCACAAGGGCACTATGCACAGACGATAATAGTACAATGCACGAGGGAGTCGGATATGTAGACGAAGCGAGGATGACAGAACAGAACAGAACAGAAGAAGTGGAAAGAGCAAGGAAAGTGATGACGCGACCACACAGAGATAAAACATCGCCCCTATGTTCAAGTTACTGGTTTAAGTTGTAAGCACGGTTAGGTCAAGATAGGGCAAATCCGAGTATGCAGTGAACGTTTGACATTTTGACATCGTTGAAGACTTGCCTGAACAGCTGCCAGAAGTTCGAGTTGACTCAGTTGACTGCAGACCGGTGGGTCTAAGTTGACTGCCACCCTCATGCTCGAGCTCTTGGCTGAACACTGCAGGTGCCTGTCTGCATGCTTCCTTAGCTTCCTTTGATAGATTAGGTACTTGTGTAGTAGTTGGGTAGCCACACCTTTCGATGGCATATTGTTCTTTGTGTGATCGAACACCAGCTACATCAGGAACTGAGGACTAGAACTAGAAACAGGGAGAATGTAGATACCGTATTGTAACATCGTTGCACGGATCTGCAGAATTTAAGCCTAGAATTGTAATTGGAATTTGGAAAGGCCTAACCATTTGGGCAAGTCCCGCCTTCTCAACAAACAATGAACATTCTCACAATCCAGCTGTCATTCCATTGACTGCGTAAACACAAAATTGAGGGCCGAAAGCGCTGAGGCCATAGAGGGTTGGTGTCGGGATTGTGCCCGATGCAAATTCGCGGAACCTCTGGTGCATTTGGTCATCTGTGCTATCACGGGCAGAGAATAGCGTAAGTGAACGGAAGGTCTTGACCCCTAGGAAGAAGACTGGAATGCGACGACGACGGACAATGAACTGGATGGCGAAATCAAGTAATCCATCGATGCGCCTGAACTGTGGGGAGACTTGATAGTGTTCTGAGCTGGGGAATAACTCGACAAGAAGGGAGGTGAATGGCCCATAGAAGTCGCGCGCTTTCTTCAGTGGTGTAAGGTAAAATCACAGATCAAGGTTTGGAATAGGGGCCATTTCCCACGGCGCTCTGTGCTAACACGTCACGCCTCCAGCTCACTTCCGTCCTCCCAAAATGCTCTCTTTAATTCCCGTTTTCCTATTGGCATTATCAGCGCACGCGTCGCTGTTGGCTGTCCAGAGCCCTCGCTATACTGTGACGGGCGCAAAGGGCTCTGAAGTCCAGGCGGAACCGTAAGTGTTTCGATGAATTTCGATGGCGCCAAGCTAATTAATGACTTCTTTTGGTCAACAGCGTATCTCTTGCACAGAAGCCCTCGTCGCCGGTTGCTCTTCACGGGAAGGAGACCTTGAAGCTCACTTTTCAGATTGTAGACAAAGAAACTGGAAAGGGTGTCCAACCACACCAAACTTTCTTAAGATTCTACGATGAGAAGACCAATGAAGAAGGTATTCAACCTGTTCGGGTGACACCTGGCGGAAAGGCGAAGTTCGAACTGGTGTGTCCGTACAGCTGCGTGACCATGAATATTATTGACACTGTTCCCAGAACCTCTCAAAACCACCCTTGTCACTTCCGCCAACTCCTGACAGGGACCCCTTGAAAGTCACTCTCTTTATCGGATCTTCAGTATATGACCCTCTATCTGTTGAGCTGTTCGACCTCATCCTTCCAGCCTCGCAACCAGCTCCTGCACACCCTCAAGAATTGACCTTCCACCCACTTCCCGAGATCAAGCATACTTTCCGTCCAGAAAACAAACAGCCACCTCGCTTGATCTCTGCAGTGTCAGTAGGCATCGTCTTCGCTCCCTGGGTTGTGTTATTGGGCCTGGTATGTATCAATCTTGCCTTTCCAGATCTTACAGCTTATTGACGTCATTATCGTTGACTTTTCTAAATTACAGTGGTCGCAAGTCGCTCCCCGTCCTTCGCACCTCTTCTCTCCCAGTATCCTTCCCTTCATCTTGTCCCTCGGTGCTTTCGAAACCCTCCTCTTCCGCTACTGGATTGGGCTCAAGCTCGGACAAGTACTTCTTTACGGTGCGATTCTTGCTATCCCCACCATCTTCACTGGCAAGCAGGCGTTATCAAGCATTGCAAACCATCGTTTAGGCCGAAAATAGGCTTTCCTAGAAAACGATGTTGCTTTGCAAAACTTGTACTCGAGAGTTGATCCAATAAAAAGATCAATTATTTATGAAGGCTCAATTGTTGTTCTGACCTTGCGACAGATTCCCCAACTTCAAAATTGCCTGTTATTCATTCCAGAATCCACGGTCCGCAGTTTCGACTTCCTGGGGTT